ATATTAGGTGTGTCCCGCGCGCTCATATGACCTTATGCAGTTGCGAGCACCGTAAAACACTTACCAAAAAACCCCCCCAGAAAAATGTCTCACACTCACCCTGCTATAAAATATAAGTAATTTGTGTTGATGTTCTTCTCTTTACTCAACCTATTAATCGGTTGGCAGGTGCTCAGGTGTGGTTTGCTTCTTCTTTCCTATCAAACATCTATCGTCCTTGTCTCCCCTTTTTCTTTTCTTATTTTCGTTACTCTCTTGTAACACCTCTAATCGTCTGGCTCTCATATGACCTTATGCAGTTGCGAGCGCCGTAAAACCTCAACTAAACTAACTAAAACTTTCACTGCTCTAAAATATAAGTTATTTGTGTTGATGTGCTTCTCTTTACTCAACCTATTATAATTAATCTCTCAGGCTCTGTGGTTCCCCTTGCTGGAGGCAATTGTGTCCCCCCAGAGGAAGCTGAAAAACTCGGTGGACAAAGAGGCCATGGACAGTAAGTTGACCTGTTTGTACAGCCAAGAAAAATGTATCGCTGAGAAAGTTTTTCCTTATGTGGTTGAACTGATTTTCTTGTTCAAATGAAATCGGTTTTTTGGAGGGGTTTTTTTTGTATGTGTGAGGTTTTTCTTTCAGTGATCATGTCATTGATGTAAAGCGCTCAGAGCTTATACTTAGTCTTGTGTGGGATACGGTGCTGTATTAATGCATTCTATTTTTATTATCATCATTATTCATATTCTTATTCTTATTCTTATTTCTTATTCATATTTTTCTTCTTCTTCTTCTTCTTATTCTTAAGAACATGAATATCTACCTGGTGTATAAATTACTTAAAGGCAGTGCTGTATTCACAATCCACTAAATTTGAGGTCAGGACAACCAAGCTGTGGGTATAGTCAATATGAATTTTAACTCTTTGAACCCATATAGCCGTGGACAAATTTATCGGCATCCTGGAAAGCTGGTGTGCCTGGGCCTAACCCCGTTTGATGAAAAAATAAAAATGAAATTCCAATTTTATCAACCCTGCTGGGAAATTTGGTTTACAATGGTGTAACATATAGGCTATTATACATATGTAAATATGGTCCATAAATACATAGGTACATACATACTGAAACAAAGAGATATACTACAAACATACCATTGTTGGTCACTACTGTGCAGTGCACTGTTTGTAAGCTGGGGTATTGTGTCTTGCTCAAAGACACATCCCAGTGACAACTCACCTAAATGCTGTTTTCCCAAGATGCTTGACATTTGTTGTGAGCCTGAACTCATTAATTACTTGCCTACTAGAGACCCAAGGAATGATGGGCTTGTTAAGGTTAATGGTTCAAAGGGCTCTGGGACTCGATACCTTTTATACACACTCCAGTATTTTCATGTTGAAAGTGTCGCTTTTATCTCCAGTTCAATAAACTTGAAGGTTATGAATTCAGACCTAGGGACTCTGTGAGCTTGTTTGATTCTTCAGGACTTTGTTCACTGAAGTGGTCTGTGATGCTGTTGTGCATGGTTGTATAAATTACTTTGAATTTTGTCTAGGAATATTATAGTGATGTTGTTTTATTTTTTTCTCTCTCCTGTAGACTTCAAAGAGATGACTCATCATGTTTTAAACAGCATGATGGGCTACATCTCTCCTCCGGCAATCTTGCAGAAAATCATGCAGGTAAGCCTAAAACTTTGCAGTATGAGAGCCTTGTGGAATTATTTTTCACATTTTTGTCTTGTAAAAATAATGTGTAGTTGATGAATGAGTAAAAGTTTAAAATAATGAACAATGGGTAAATGGGGTCTGTACATATAATGTGCATACAGTACATGGTATCTCGTCCATGCCCATAACTTATATATCTCTCTACTGGCATCTGTGGTGTAGGGGTCAGGTGTTTTGTTGCTGCATGCAAGAGACATGAGTTTGATTCCAGAGTGGGGAGACTGTTTATAGAGTATCTTGGTCTTTTTTCCTGGGATGTTGTACCTTTCAGCCTGGGTTGAAAAATCAAAGTTTTTCAGAAACATCCACACAGAAATGAGCTCTTTAATGGACATGAAAGGTTTTGAGCCACAAAACAAAAGTTTGATAAAAATTCACAAACGTGCGGAAAAAGTTTCTTCACTTTGATTATTTTGACGAGAGCCTGATTCTACCACGCTGCCTCACATATTATGATTATGTATACTTTGATTACCTGCATTTTCTCCTCATTTTTACCATGGAAAATAGTATGTTTTCTTTTTCAAAGTCTTTCTTAACATTCTCTGGCAAGAGAATAACCTACGTATTGATTTCAACCTTATTTTTAGGAGGTGTTTTGGCAAATTCTCAACTCTGGAGGAACTTTATTTTTTGTACAGGCGACGAAAATACTTTCTCATTTTTTCACTTCTCTGGAAATGCGTGATGAAATAAGTTTTAAATCACTCTTTATTTTGCGTCTTCAGTAATTGTTCTTGTACACTTGATGAGGCGTATTATGTGTCATGATCAGGAGAAAAGTTTTTGTAGAAGTTCAGACTTGACTAGATTTTGGCTGATGATTTCTGCGTGTTCTTGTTTTGTTTAGATTTTTAAAGTCTTGTTCTCATATCTCATCAGGATCCAGCCTACAACACTGGCAAGTTTGGTGAGGTGAAAGAGCTTATCATTGGCATGCTGGAGAACTACAACTATGAGGAGGTCAGTGCAGTACAAAAATAAATAGGCTGAGTGCTTACACATTCCCTTTTCCAAAGCAATGATTTGTTTGTCTATATGATTATTTTACTGTATTTAAAAAATCTATTACTTTGGTTTGGACACAATTTAGATAATTCAGGAGGTGGGTTCGGACCCTGCCTGTCAGGACCAACCCGGACGGAGAGGAAATAATCTCTCTCTTGCCCTTTTTAACTCCCAGTGGAGCACAGGCCATCAACAACATTACTCCAGCGAAGCCTGTCCTGAGCATCCTCTTCTATCTGTTTCGAGGAAATAATACTGATTCCTTTTTAACTCTTTATCTCCGGGGGAGGTAAACCCGCTATGACCCTCTCATGGTCAGAAATCTAAAAGTGACATATACACATCACTGAATTGGTCAGCAGAAAGACACAGATACTTTATAAAAATGTTCTCCCTACTGGGAAATAAAACTCGGGTCTCTTGTGTGCAACAGCGAAGCATCTAAACACTGTGCCACAGATGCTGGTACATTAAGCTTTTGAACTTAGTTATTGTCCATAAGCGTAATACTGTGTTAAGAGAGTCCATTCTCATTTTCAGGGTTGCTGGAATGGAATGCCCTTCAAAAGGAACTTAATGGTCAATTTACATTGTAGAGACCTTTATGTGAAAGTCTAAAACATTATTTTATTTTTGAATACTTGTATGACTTTTAGTTTGGCTTCATTGTCTCATTGCAAATAGAGTCTAGTCATATTATTATGTTTGTAATGAAACGTGATAAAGAGAGAACGTAATGCAAATCCATTAAAGTCATTAAGCTTTGCATAATATTACTATGCAATTGAAGAGCTTCCTGGTTTTATTTATGATCCCCATTTGAAGTACCTTGGGCCCTCATGGGGAGAAAAAGCATGCACTTAGAAAATTTGTTTCCAAGAGTTTCCAAGGACTCTAAAGCTGTGGAAGTCACCTAACTTTGGCGGCTATTTTCTCGCTAATTTTACTTCTGAAACCAAGTGACCCCCACCTGCTTCAATTAAAACATATCCCGACTTCTATTGTAGATAGATGAATATTTTTTTCATCGAAAGCAGGACAAATGAACAAGATTTAAGATGATAGCAATAACTCTGCATGCCCAAAAAATTGGCGAGTGCCTGATTCCACCGCTTTGTAACACATATATGACTTCATGTGGCCTGTTCCAGACACTGATGGAGACATGTAAGAACCTTCTCTACCATGACTTGCACATCCACCTGCGTAGCTTGACGCAGACTGCGACCAGGGGCTTTGTACCCAGGGGGGACAACTGTAACATTTGTAACCAGAACTACACCGAGGCAACCCCTGCTGAGACGATCCTGGTGTTCAGGTAAAGAAAACAGAAATGATTACCCTAGATGTAGATAGTATGCCACTGAGCACCAACTGAAGCCTTTGAAATTAGACATTGTATGAAAGATGCATCACAGAGGGCTATTTGTAAGGAGAGGGAATTCATTGGGTCCTAAGTTAGTTGTATGAATTTTTGTTTGATATGTGGTCTTTTCTCTGTTGTAATGAGTTTTGGAAATTTTTATTTAGTCAAAGAATTAGTTGAATCTGATTTTGCTCGACTGGTTCACAGATGCCAAAACTGATTGCCGTAACCCAGTAAAAATTGCTGACTGTTGTGTAGCATACTGTGCTTTGCCATCCTGAATGAATTCAAACACTCAGCCCACATTATCTGTCTCTTGCTCACATTTTTGCTTTCTTTTGTGGCCAGGTGTGGCCACAGCTACCACATGCCATGCCTGAGGGCTGTGGGTTCAATCCATGTTCTGGATGGAGAGGAGCTGTGGTTGTGCTACCACTGCAGCAACAGCAGAAGTTCTCGTACCGTGACCAGCTCGCGTTTCCACCGCTCACTCTCCAACAATGAGGCCAGGATGAAATCGGGCCGCAGAGAAAAGAAAGAGACCACCGAGGTATGATTATCATCCCCTTTGGTTTTTCTGTTTCCTGTCAGATAAGGGTCTGTTCATTTGCTCAGACGCAGACCAAAAGAGAGTGGTTGGATGGAAGGTGTTGCTGGGTGTTACAAATGTTTCCTTTGTTAGTTGTTAGTATACTATGACCCTTCTTAGGTATGAGGCTATGAGGTTTGTTTGTGTGTGTGTGTGTGTGGGGGGGGTGCTTGTGGGTGCATTAGTGAGTGAGTGAGTGTGTGGGTGAGGGGAATAAGTGTAAAGGATGTTTTGTGTGTGTTTGTAAGGGTATTTGTGAGTGTCTATAGAGAGGGGGGAATATTTTGATGGCTGCATGAAAGGCTCCGACAAATGCTATTGGGAGCATCAGTCTTGCGTCCAGCCATTACTGTGTGTGTGGACTGAAGATGTAGAGTGTGTGCATATATGTATGTACGAAGGGGGAGTTAGTATGATATCATGTCTACAGTCGGGCACAAATAACAAGAACATGGAAAACTCTAAATCACGGATAGCTCGTACAATTGCCGTTCCTGGACCAGGTATATCTTTAATTTCTCATAATAGGTTAACCTGAATTATGGATGTATCAAACACATTTGGAAATCTCCAATGTGTTAAGAGTTATCCGTGCTTAGCTGTATTTGTGTATGTTGGGGTGAAGGGTGAACACAGTTCTGTGCCAGTAGTTGAACAATGAAGTTATGCCTCATCCTGTCCAATCTTGTCAAATTTCTTCTTGTCAAGGTGGTGTTCTTGTAACCGGCTGCTTTTCGGAAACAATCATTACTGATGTCTGTTCTGGGGTTTGCAATAAAACTGCCACCCACCAGAGTAGTTTACCAGGAAAAATATTTAATTTAATGTAGATTTTAAAAAACGACCTAATAAACTCATGTATTTTGTCTACAGATGATCTTAGACCCTCATCATTTACAAGCTTTTGAGAACATTCGGAAGTCAATGAAGACACCATCAAGAGTGAGTATTTTTAAAAGCTTCTTGGTGGATTACTGGTGGTTGCTTTGGTGTGGTCTACAGCTTCTGTTTCTCATCAGTATAACTGTTGACCTTATCTGTTGCTAGTGAAATGTGGGCCTTATTGTACTTTCCCAACCTCTCTTGAATTCCAGTACACATTTGAAGTGATGAGACAATCTGAAAGTTTAAAAAAATGTTTCTTCTATAATAAACTTTTCAGGAATTGATCACTTTGTATCCAAAGCCTTTCAGCTGCAGGTTAAAGGGCTTGTGGAAATTTTGATAATTAAAATGACATTTCGTTGAGGTGGCCTAGCTCTTGTAAATTGTCAGCTCCTTTTTATATTAGCTTTTAGCTTCCCAAAGTTTGTAAGAGCAGCAAAGTGTGGTGAAAGGGTTTACTTTCTTTATGTAAGAGTGGAAATTTGTGCTAGCTTTAGAATGCAATTTCAGTCTTGTATACCTTTCTGCAGAAGGCCCTCACAGCCCAACAGTGACTTTCTGTGTCTGTCTGTTTGTTGTTATTTTACATCCAAGAGCCATTGGTCGACTTTTAGACCATCCAACACTGTCATATCCATTTTCATATGTGTATTCCCATATCTGTTAGCGCGGATAGTCGAAGGGCATCGTGGATAAGTCCTACTTTTTTTCCTTTCCCGTTGTTGCACCCTGTCTGTCTGTCTGTCTTGCTCTTTCCCTGTACTCAATGACAGTTATTATGTCATGTATTTCTCTTTACCTCATGTGAACGAACAAACTAATGTCTGTTTGCAATAAGGGAGACTGGGAAATAATGGCAAGAAGTAAAAGCATTTCACCCAGTGAAATGTCCAGAACGACCGAGCTTGGGTTTGCCTCTACTTTCTTGAATTTGTGAGTCTGATATGTTTTGAAAGGAATTTTTTTTTCTCTCTTTGTAAATCTGCAGCTGGCCATCCTGACAGAGTTATCGAAGCCCAACTCTTACTCTGGACAGCGGTCAAGCACAGGTTTGCTCCAGAATGAGAATTTCCAGCTACGTTTGGCTGCCCCGAGTCCAATATCCAGCAGCTAGCCACATATGTTGTGTTAGTTTTTGTCTTTTGTTATTTTAATTTGGGACCTCTTGAGTCTCATTACTCATTTCATAGTGATATGACTTGGTGCTTACTCTCTCGTAACAAAATTAATTTATTTTAAGAAGTTACTCAATCAAGACTTAATTCAATCAGGTTTCTTTTGGATTCCTAAACCCATATTTTTAAAACATAAAAGTAGATTTTGGTTGTCTAAGATGGAACTGGGTCATTCTCTTAAAGTACTTTTCAAATCTTTGCAGCTTATTAAGTATCCCGTAGTCACTATTTTTCCATGAAAAAAAATGTGTTTTGGCTTCTTTGCAAAATGCCCTTCGATTCCTTTATTTTTGTCGTTTAAAATACTGATGTGATACAAGAAAAATAAAGGAGATAATCCAGATGCCAGTCTATAAATTTCCCATGACTGATATGGTAATGTTAGTCAAATGAATTTTACTTTATTTGTCATTTTGTCATTCCTGTATGTTTATACTCACTCAAAGTTAAATGATAGCTGGACTTATTTCTTTAGCTCTGTTTTGGATTAGAACTAAGTGTATAAGATGCTGTGCGTTGGATTTTGGAATGCTCTCCGGAAGAGAGATGGTTCGAACATTGTAATAAAACAGAACATGTCTGTGATTGTGCTGCTGTAAACCTTAAAATCATCAATATCTTGCATGTCGGTTTCTATGGCTGCTTGAAATGTCAGCTGTAATAGAACCTGTTTCTATCATTTTGCAGATTGAAAGTCCTTGTTTAATTGCATAATTTCTCACTTTAGAAGTTTTTTCTTCTCCAAGGCATCTCATTGGAAGAAAATACAATGTCAAGAAATGGAATTTTACTGGATAGATTTTTTCTTTCAAATCAAAGGCTCACAATAGTTCCCATATGATGCTGAAAGCTCAATAATATTGTAATGTTCATGACTTTTTTTCCATTCCTGTGAGAAAACCACTGTTGTTTTACATATGTTTATGTTGCTGTTGTGATAAGTCACTCAATGTGTGAACAATGAACAAATACTTGTGAGTGGGAGTATGTTTTTATTACATGTGTATGTGCTGGTGGTATGAGTTCCAAGGCAGTGTGTTTGATTTTCTGCAAGTTCTGAGTTACTTTTTTTGCTGTGGTTGAACAATAATGAAAGGGGTTTTGTTTCTGTGCTCTTTTTACCAAGTGGATATATCTGTAGCACAGTGGTATTTTGTGCACTTCAGAAAGACCAGTAGAATGTGTAAATGCATATTTTTACCAATTTCTTGGCTAGGTGGTCTAAAACCCTTTAAGTGTTTTCTTGTCCTCTTTCTCACTGTTACTATTCGTCGAAGAGGTATTCACCTCATTTTTGTGAAGTTTGGCTGTTATTAGCTGGTGTGTTGTGAAGTGCTTTACAATTAGTTCCTCAAATGTCATGAGAAATTAAGATTATATGAAAAAAAGATAAAATTATATAGTATAATGGTGGGTAGTTTCTAAGAAAAACAGAGAAAACTGTTATGAAAAGGAATGGAATAGAAATATCATCCAGTAAACTCTGGTTGAAGGATATTTGTTTTGTTTTCCCTTGGGAATTTGTAACATGCTATACTTATCAATGACGATGATGATTAGTTGATTATTATGTTGAAAGGATTAGGATGGCTGGTGGATCCTTCTGTGTAATCTGCATTGTAATTGTATCCTTCGTGGCATCGATGGCCTAGTGGTTAGGCTACCGGACTCGTAATCGTGAGGTTGCGGGTTCGAGTGATCGAGCCGTGGGCCCAACATTGTGTCCTTGTGAAAGGCACTTTACACAAATTTTCCTCACTTCACCCAGGTGGGAATGGGTACCTAGCCATAGACAGCGAAAGATCTTATCAGTGTGTTAGTGTTTTAGCGCCTATAAATGGCTGCTTGCTCTGCTTCCCAGGAAGCTGAGCAGGTTGTTTCAAAATGCTTTCAGGTCTGCTGGCGTAATATTATCGATTGTTAAGCGAATAGAGGTTTCTGTTAAGTGGGGATTTGCGCTATACAAATGCTATCTATTATTATTATTATTATCCGTTTTACTGTTGTCTTAAATTCTTTTAGAGGGAATGTAGCTCTTGTTATGGTTGTAAATTAATTTTTAGCTTTACACGACACATGACAGTTCATGTTTGCAACACTATTTCTTTAAGCTAATGTGCAGAATATGAAACTTGATTAATAACAGCTGATATCATTGTACAGTGTCTGGAACTATTGGTAATATTCTGAACAGCTCATGTTTATTAACTTTCTGTTGATGGAGAAAGTTTGTGAGGCAGTAGATATACATAATGTATTATTCCTATCACAGTAAAGTGATGACACACTTTCATGATTATTATTTTGTCAGGTGTTTACATGACCTCGACTGGGCTATGAATAAAAAATAAGAAGCTATAATAATTGATTGGTAGTCTCCTGCTCACTGTTGATATCTGTTAGTACTTCTAGTTGGAAGTGTGTCTGTTTTTATGCCAAGTTTGAGTGTAACTGAGGTATGCAACGAAAGATTTATAAAGATCGAAGTGAGAGTCTGAGAGAAACGTATTGCTTTGCTCGTGGTTTGGTGAAGTTGTCCGAGCTGTTTCTTCATCACCCACCCACCACTACTATGTGCAATATCAGAGATGGTTGTACCTTTTGTTGTAGCTTGAGTAAATGTGTTTGAATAAACCTTGTTCACAACTTTGCTTACATTGTAATAGATTTTGTTATTATTGATTTCTACAATTATTTGTGCTGCATTGTGATGAGATATGTGTCATGGTGTGGTGGAATCAGGCATTCATTTTTGGAATTATTGGTATCACCTTAAAGGTTGTTCATTTGCCTTGCATTTGATGAAAAAAATATCCATCTATCTTGAATAGAAGTCAAAATATTTGCGATTGAAGGAGGTGGGGTCTCCTGGTTTCAGAAATAAAATAAGCTAGAAGATGGCTGCCAAAGTTTTGTGACTTCCATAGCTCAAGAGTCCTTGGAAACTGCAAGTTTACATTTTTTTGTACCTTTTATCAACATTGTTCCATAAAATCCACAGATAAGAGTCTTTTTGAATAGACATGACAAGGTGTTGAGCCAAAAAACCCCCCCCCAAAAACGAAAAAAATTCCCTAACTGGCCCGAAAAATGCAGATTTCTTCGATTTCATTATTTTGACGAGTGCCTGATTTCACCAGGATGCCTCACATGTGATCATCGCAGACTATAATAACTGCCATTTGGATGTCCTACTTTTTTCCCTGTCTCTCCATTATGCTAATCTGTCTGAATCTCTCCATTATGTTAATCTGTCTTTCTTGTTGGGTTTATTTTTTTGGAGGGTTTGTTTTTTTGTGTGTTTTTTTTACTCTGATGTTGATATGCAAACCTTTTCTCAAACTCAAGACTAAAAAAATGATTAATGGGCGCTCTTTGTGTGATCTGCATTTTTTGTTCTTCGTTCTTCACTTTTATTTTCAGTATTCATGTTGTTCTATTCTGTTCCTGGGGAGATGGTGGGTGAGTGGAGGGCTCCACTGGCAGGTTTTATTGTTTTGTTCTTGTTTTTTTAAATATAGATTGAAACTCAATATGAACAGCAATATAGACATGACCACAAACTATACAATCGCTTGTTGTAGCCACACTCCTGTACCCTGCATCTGGTAACTGTTGTAGCAAGACTGAAGTAAATACAGTGTTTAAAGTGTGAAGCACCTTTACCAGAATACAGTGTCCTGTGTATGACGGAGCTGGAAATCGAACTCTCAGCGTGAGTGGTTG